CCATCAGCTTGAACCCCAACACCTGGCTCTGGATTTCTATTTTTTGTGTTACACAGTGCTATTCTAATAATAGTGTATTTGGCAGTCTGAGACTATTACTTCTATGTACAACGCATATACACTTTACTTCTAACAATGCACCTAGCAACCTGCTAGCAACCAAGGATCCTCCCACCTTCATTTAGCTTCATGCACACCCCTCTCTGAAAAATAATGACCATCAAATGTAGGCTTGAGATTCAGTTCAACCAGAATGGAAAGCTGATCCAGCCCACACAGGTTTTGGATACATGCTCAAAAAGACCAAATTGTATGCCTAAATGGCTTTCCTATTTACCATCTTATGTCTATGCATAATTGGGAATGCATATGATTTAAATAAGATTATGGAACAAACTTAAATAATTCAAATCTATTAACCAAGACAGAGAAGTACCCTTTAGTAACCAAATTACTCCTTCTCTTGAATCCTATAAAAGAATGCTCCACTTTAACCCAGCACTTAGGAGCCAGAGGCAGGTGGATCTCTGTGAGTTGGAGGCCAACTGGGTCTACAGAGCAAATTCCAAGATATCCAAAACAAACCCTGTCTCAAAAAAAAAAAAAAAAAAAAAAAAAAAAAAAACCAACCCAAAAACAAAAATCTTCCAAGCAGTAATTGGGATCCCAAGAGTATTATTTCACTCATGCTGCCTGCTGCTCCTCTATCATATATTCTGATATTTTCTACTGCCTTGCTTTAGATAAAGTTCCCTTACTACTTTGGGATTTGTGTGGGCTTTTACTTCATTTTTGTATAAGAGATTAAGAGCCTGGAAACACCCGATGCAGACAGCACCTCTAACTTCCAAAGAGGTAACATCCTCAGACTTTTTTTTTTTTTAATGTTATTTCAGAGTAGCTTTACTTTGTATTGCAAGCTACACGCTTAGTTTTTTTTTAATTTAAAATTTTAAAATTCACACTTTGTGCCTGTGTGAGTCTTTGTTGTGTATGTGCTGGTGATCCTCTGGAGTTGGAGTCTCAGTGATTTTGAACCACTCACATGGATGCTGAGAACAGAATGTGGGTCCCAGGGAAAAACAGCAAGGGCTTCTTACTACTGAGCCAAACTTCTGGCTCCATGAGTTTGCATTTATTTATTTTTATTTTATGTGTATAGGTATTTCACCTGCATGTATGTATGTGTACTACATTCATGGAATGTCCTCAGAAACCAGAAGAGGACATCAGATCCCTGGGGCTGGGGTTACAGCTGGTTGTGAGCCACCATGTGAGGTATGGGAATTGAACCTGGGTTCTCTGGTAGAGCAACCAGCACTACTAAAAGCCGAAGCATCTCTCCAGTCCCAGGTTTTAAACCTTGAATTCCATTTTTCTTATTTATTGATCAAGGTGGCAATATTGTGTCTGAAAAGTACTTGGCATTCTAAAGTCCAAGGGAGAAATAAGTAACTACAGAGTGAATGATTTCTTTAAAGGGTTCAAAGTCTAACAACAGAACTTTTTGAGAGAACAACAAAATGGGAAATTTTTCATGAACAATACAGATGTGCATAGACAAGCATCAAAATGCCAATATATGGTTCATATGAAAGGGGGGGTTCAACTGTTATATGATGGCATGGACTGGAGAGAGAAACCCTCCCCGCCATTAATGCCTGAGGCAGATGGGAGAGCTGTCCCTGACCCCCATCAGATGCAACACCCTGGAGAAGAGGCCCTGCACCTTGCCTGGGCAACACAATGGAGTCAGCTGTGTTTGTGGAGGTGTGGGTGATCCAGCTCCAAAGTAGTGAGTAAGGGAGAGCTATCCATGCTACTTGTCTATCTTGCAGTGGCACGGGAGGGGGAGAGTTGCCCCCCTTAGCCCTCACCACCTGCAACCAACCAGAGAGCTGACCTTCCCCTTACCAGCTGCAGTACTCAGAAAAGCAGAACCTGCCCCTCGCTTAGGTAGCACAGCAGAGTTGCCCAGTGTTTGTTTGGAGGTGAGGGTGACCCATTCCCAATGTGAACAAGGGAGAGCTATCCCCCCATTACTTATCTGATAAGTGGCAACATGGGCAGAGGATGCCCATCAGTGCAATGTCTGAGACAGGTAGAGGTCCATTCAGGACAGTGGCTCCTGTACCTCACCCAGGGCAACACAATAGAGCTAGCCCTGATGGTGCAGGTGTGGGGGAGCCAACCCTGAGGGCATGAAAGCAGAACTATTCCCCCTCCTCACTCATTGCTGCAAGAGGTGAATTAGCTGGGGCAATGATGGACAGCTCACCCTGGTGGTGAGCACAGGGTAGAATTGGCAGATGGACCAATGACAGCTGCTCAGACCCAGGAACAGGGCTGTGACTTGGCCTGTGCCAGCATTGACTCCATCTATGATCTGCTGGATCACATGAAAAGACCCGATCCACAGATCCAAAGCTGCAGGATCTCCACAACACAGGGCAACAATAGGATATCCAGGCTCAGCTTTGATGATGTAGCAGAAACCAGAGGCCTCTAATCAGACCGATGAACACTTGCAAGTAAAGATATATGAACAAAGGAATTTATTGTGTGACTCACTGCAGACTTCCATGATGAGATTTTTTTAAAAAACTTTTTTCTGTTTTTCTCTTAAATTTTGTTTTATTTTAGCGTGGGGTGGGGGGTGCAGGGGTGGAGGGCAGATGGGAAGAGATGGGGAAATAAATGGGATCAAGATATATGACACATAGAATAAAAGAAAGAAAGGAAGGAAGGAAGGAAGGAAGAAAGAAAGAAAGAAAGAAAGAAAGAAAGAAAGAAAGGAAAATGTAGAATCCCTGATACAAAATCAAACAATCTGTTGATCCCGCTAGAGAGTCCTATGTCATTTCAGGGGTAAAGAGCAAAAATGGGAAATTCATTGAGAATTTTAAGTATAGTTTAAAGCATGTCTCTCTGTAGAAAAGAAAGGTAGAGTTTGATTAGGATTGTGTAAGAATCATAACATAATTAAGAGGGGAAAGGCCAGTAAAGCAATGATTTTTCAATAAAAATTTCAAAGAAAAAAGGCTTTTTTTTTCCAATTTTGTTTTCACTCAGTTAAGTATGATAGATGAAATAAACTTATATGTATAGATACCTGTCTAATATCTACCATGTTTTTAACATAGCCATATATTTAGAGTATAGAAATGCATACATTTGTCTAGTTTCTCATCCTCAGTTGGATTGGAAGCTCTGGCAGTCAGGGAGCTCCTTCTTATACATTTTTTATTCCCTGGGTTTGGGCTTATGCTTTTACAACACAGATTCTCAGTAGATGTTTGATGGTAATGAAAGTTCACATTGCAAGAGAAAAATCTGTGAGGATAAATGTATTTTATTTTTTTAGTCAGTGTAAGAAAAGATATCATTGTTCAAAGGAATGGAGCAGAGAATTCGGTGTTTTACTGACTGCAGTTGAGCACAGGATAAACCGAGGTTCACAAACACTCTTGCCTTGACTTAAAATATAACATCACTTCTCTCCTTTCTAACAGCTTTGGGGAGGTTGTGGCCTTGATTTGCGATGTCATTGGGGGATGGAGGAAGTGCGACAACTCTGCCATCATTCTTAGCATGGAAATCAAATCTCTGGGTCTGGGAGATTCATGCTGTTGGGATTGCCAGTAGATTTTTTTTTTTTTTTTGGCTGAATAATATTCCTTTGGGTATGTCTTACTTGTAACCATGCTATTTTGATAACTCTAAAAATACATGTTACAAGAGCTGAGATGCTTTTTGCATGCTGAGTTGAAATGTATAGGGCTGCTTTATCATTTTATTTTATATGTTTACTTAGTGCTTGTAGAGGTCAAATACAGAGCTAAATATAAGAATGTGTAAATTCTTGGCCCTTCCCTCAACTAGAGAAAAAGATACTTGAGTTGTCCCTATTTAGATGGAAAGAATGTGACTAAGCTGTCACCTTAAATACTTGCTAATAAAGCTGTAAAGTCAAACTTTGGGGGATCCAGATGCTAATAAACAAGTCCACAGTCAGGTCTCTGGTAAAAACCCGTTTGGGCATCTTCGGACTTAAAGTCTTGTTTCAGGGAGCAGGTGTCTGGCATTAAAAAGCATCTTGGCTCCAGAGTTAGGCCCCTCAGGTTCTATTTCTGGTTCTGTTACTGGATTGCTATGTGGCCTTGCATAACACAGGAGCATGCACTTTCCACAAGGCAAGGAGCAAGACTGACCTCCAGAACTAGCACTTGAGGTTGGATTCCAGGTGCTTTGGGGAGTGACTGGACTCCTCACTGAGCTCCAGCGCACCCTTTTCTACTGCCAAAGCCATTTATTTTAGTGTGAAATAGAGATCCGGTTTTGGTATGTCCGCAAGGACATTGTCTTCCTCCTTACTGCGAATCCAGAAACCTAGAAATAGTTCAAATCTTAAACGCCCTACAACTTTTCTTACTGTTTTTGTTGAGGTAGCGAGGGAGAGACAGAGAGGAGGGAAGGTGACGGAGAGAGAGAGAGAGAGAGAGAGAGAGAGAGAGAGAGAGAGAGAGAGAGAGAGAGAGAGAGAGAGAGAGAGAAAGAGGGAGGGAGGGAGGGAGGCAGAGAGAGAGAGAGAGAGAGATGAGATAGGGAGTTGGATGAGTGAGGTGGGTGTGCAGACGACACACTAGAGAGAAGGGAGTTGGAGGCTGTCAAGGGCAGAGTCTAGCCCCTCTAGGACTCTGGAAAGCGGGTCACAACGCCTGGTCTTCTGGCGACTACATTTCCCGGGTGCAGTTGCGGCACCACAGAGGGGTGGGACCACAGAGGGGAGGCAGACACAGCCATCTGATTGGAGGCCACAGCGCAGACTCGGAGCTGGGCGCGCGTCCCCGCGAGGTCTCAGGCTCCTGGCGCGTGTGTGGAGGGACCGTCCAGGCTGCGAGCGTGCGTCGTGCCGGAGGGGCGGGCCGGAGGCTCCCGTGGGCGGGGCCGAGGGTTTCGCGTCGACGCCGCCTTCCTGCCCCGCCCCTGGCCGTTCGGCCCGCCCCTCCTTCCTGGAGCCTCCGCTGAGGCAGAGGCGGCGCGGCGGCCGGGAGGGGGGCGGCTAGTGGCCAGAGCGACACGCGCTCGCCGCGACCCTATGCAGTGACTCGTGCGGCGCAGGCGCCTCCTGCCCCGCCGGCGGGGCTCGAGCTTCCCGCGGCGGGATGTTCTCCCGAAGGAGCCACGGGGATGTGAAAAAGTCCACGCAGAAGGTGCTGGACCCCAAGAAGGACGTGCTGACCCGCCTGAAGCACCTGCGGGCGCTGCTGGGTGAGGCGCGGGGTGTGGGCTGTGTGGTCAGGGCCACCTGCCGGAGGATCGGGTCCCATCCGTGTCGTGGGCCTGGCGGGTTCTCAGGTCCGAGTGATGCAGGGGGCTGGGGATGTTGCGCACAGGACCCCTACTAGCCCAGATCGGGACACTTAAGTATTGTTCCTGAAGGCTAGCCCTGGGTGCTGTTCTGTCGCCGCAAGTGTAAATTTAGCTAAGATTCTCATTTGGGCGCCTAGCCTCGGGTAATCTCGAGGCCAGGTACAGAGGTGACTGACTATACCCTGTCCTCTCCAGGAAATAAGCCCAGCACAAGTGGAGCGAGCGAGGACACATACACTTCTGCCATTTTTCCCTCCCATTTTTAAAATTTAAAATCTTAACAACTTGGGTTAGACCAGGACCTCAAGTGGTCCCATCACAGACTTAGTTGAACTGCCATCTCTCTCACCCACTCTCCTTTTAAGATGTTATTATATTTGAGTATGAGACTTCAGATAGGTTGATTCCAAGTGATTCTGGGACAATTTTAGATGTCATTTCTTCTTCCTTGTCCTTCTCCCTTTTACATTTAGTTCTTTTGGGGGTGGGGAGGGTCGGGCTGATAGAGTTCTTGGTGTGAAGGGGGCTCTGCTCAGAGAAACCCAGGCTTTCTTGGGTTCAGGGAGACAGCGTCTTCCTTGTAACCAGAATGACTCCCTGCCGCCTTCCCTTTTTATGGCCTGCAGGGTGGAGGTTCTGCAGAGCCCAAGTGGGCCTGGAATTGACCTGTAAAGACTTGAAAGCTCACCCCTGTGGTTGTGAAGGGTCCACAAGGTTTCCTCCTCCTCCTGCTGCTGCTGCTGCTGCTGCTGTGTAGCTTGGCCAGACTATATATATTACCTCGTTCTGGTTCTGTCTGTCTTAACTTTTGTTCAAGATTAGACAAATCTTTGCCTGTCTATGGATAGACTTGTCTGTATTTTGGGGACAAGGAAAAGACATGTTTCTTCCACTGTTTACTGTTGAAACAATTGTAATAATAAAAATTGAACACCCAGTTTTAGAGCAGCTGTCACTTGAGAAAATAGGACTTAAAGAATTCATTTTGAAGGTGAGAAATTTAAGCATCTTGTTAATGAGATTAAGAATTGCTAATTATTTCTATTTATATTATGTAAACTATCTCTGGGTGGGAGACAGGCCAATCAACCAGCAAATCAGTGAACCAACAGAAATCTAAAACTCAAAACCATGAATACCACCACCACAAAACTAACCCCCCCCCCAAAAAAAAAAAAAAAACTCAACAGATTTTTCCAAATGAAGTTGCTTACTTTCTCAGATTCCTGGAGATTACACTTAATGTGTTCAGTTTATGACGAATGTAAATCAGCTATTGTTAGAGGCATTGGTTTCTGGACTCTTGAAAGCAAAATGAGGTGTTTTTGGTAAGTTGAACTTTCTCCTTCCTGTAGTGAAATGCCCAGGCACACAAGAGCTTTGTCTTGGGTCCTTAGTATCTGATTAGCTCCTGCTGCAGGGGCATTTTTGATAAAGGTGGATCAAACAGTATTTTAAGGCATTTGATACTTTGAAACCTTTTTCTGTGCTAAAGAATTTAAGCCTTTGTTCTGACTTAGAAGCCCAAGATTAAGTTGGCTACATTTTATAAAGTCAGAAAACCTAGATCAGACTAGTTTCTTAAAGATATGCTGTCCTTGTTACAATTCAGAGAAAGTGGATACTTTTCCTGTCTGAATGTCCCTGATTTCTCCTCTAAGGTGTGTGTCTCATTTCAGCTGCAGGTGGCGGGGATAGGCTATGAACCTGGTCAATGGCATCTCTTTATTTATTTATTTTTTAGTGTGTGTGTGTGTGTGTGTGTGTGTGTGTATGTGTGTGTGTGTGGTGGGTTTGTACTAGTGAGTACAGTAATCCTGGAGACCAGCAGACAGATCCCCTGGGGTTGGAGTTAGAAGTGATTGTGAATTGCCCTGGAGTCAGTACTGTACAAGAGCATCAGGTGCTCTTAACCTCTGAGGCATGTCTGTAGCCTGAATCATCTTTATATGTGAAAAAATAACAGCTTTATTATCACTCAGAGATAAAAATCTGTGTGTAAAATACTGTCTGTAACAGAGTTCTCTGCTGTTTCATTGGGAATACTTTTGTTGTTGATCGATTACCAAGTTTCCTTTATGTATTACTGTGATCACTAACTATAAGGGCTCTATTTTTCTTTTTAAAAATAAAATTTGAGGAGTAAACTTTTGCTTTACAACTGTAATTAGAAGACTTTAAAGAAAACTGGTGCATTAAAGTATTAATTCCCACAGCATCAAATGTCTAGTTATGACCTTTAAGAAAGACAGTGTTCTTGAACTGAAAGATAGGAATTAAGTCAGTATGAATGTAACTGAAGGGAATGATTTTAATTAGTGTTGAATATTATGTATGCACTTAAACTCTTGCTTTTCAAATATGTATCTTCACATGAAACAGGACTGGTATTTTTTTTACATAGAAGGAGGATGCTCCTGACCTGGGTTTGCAGCCCGTCACTACCACTTGTAGCTCACAACTTGGGCTAGGATTTAGCCTGCCCTGGAACCTCAGCTTTGGTTATTCTGTTAAACGGGTATGGTAAGGGTGTGAGTACATATATAATGACTTCAGCTTGGAGCAGGCATTTACCATATTCTTCTTTATTACTTTCCTCCCACTATTAATAGGACACACATTTTAAGAGGTGTTTTCTCCGCCCTTCTTTTTTATTAGATAGTGGTAATGGCCTTACTCTCTTGTCATAAAAAGCAGCCTGTACTTCAGACAACTTGCCGGGTCCTGACTATATGTTTTATGTCAGCCCTTGTAGGGTTGTGTTTTAGATGGTTTGCATCATTGAGAACTGAAGAAGCTGACTTCAGTTTTCCTTATTCTGTTTAAGTTATCATTGAGAAAGTAACTGAATAAGCTCCCCCTCCCCTCATGCACACAATTCCTGTGTATTACTGTATTGCTCCAGTTATCCTAGCCTTTGGGAGGTTAAGGCAGGAGGATTATTGTTAATTCGAGATCAGTCTGGGATGCATAGAAAATTCTCTGTCAGTCAAGTCTCCATAGCAAGATCCTGTCTCCAAAAAACAAAAACAAGCAAAAAAACCCCAAAACAAACAACAACAGAAAACCAAGAAGCAAAAAACAACAAATAAAAAATGTAAGATGTATATATGTAATATGTAATTCAAATTAATTATTATATATTTTATTTAACCTAATGTGTTACATCAGCAGGTAATAGTAAAGATTAACAAATAGTTTTACAGCACTTTTTCTGTGTGGATTCTTTGAAATTTAGTATATATTATATAGTCAGTGCACATATTTGTCTTTACTAGCCACATTTCACATGCACAGTAGCAGGATATGACTAGTGGTTACAGGTTGGACAGCGTAGGTCTTGAATTTGGGAAAGCAGGAGAAGATGGAAAACTTGGTAGTAGAAGTCCATGTTATGGTGGTGCAGGAGGGTGACTCTTGTGTGCATCCACTGGTAGTGTGGAGTTGGAGTACTGGAGCATAGAGGACCCTTGTGTACAGCCCTATGTAGATCAGGGTTAGAACCAGGCACCCTGGCAAGCAGAGGCTGATGGAGACTTGGTACCCCAGTCAGAGAGGGTTCAGCTTGCTTGAGGCTCACATCTATCCTTAAGTAGGAGTTGGTGTGGAGACTTTTTAACAGGTCAGTAGGTAAGATTTGAGAACTGTCCATCTGCCAGAGACACCAGAAGAATGGATCAGGAGGGGAGAGACTGGAGGCAAAGGGTTTCCTGAAAGGGCCGTGGCAGGGGGAACAGGCAGACAATAGATTGTTGGAAGAGGAAGGCCATGATGACAGGACAGAGCAGCAAGAACTAGTGATACTTCAAGTGTAGCTTAAAGAGTGATTAACACGAAGTAATTTATTCAAGTCAAATCATAGCTAGCACTTGGACCTCAGATTTGCCCCAGAGAAAATAGTCCCTTACAAATGTTCTGTACATTGATACAGCAAAATATAACATTATATTTCTTCATGTTCTAAATAGGGGCAAGTTCACTTGTAGTTTTAGAGGTTGCTTTACTCATTTATTGTGTGTGTTTATGGGTTACATGTGTGTAGCATATGCACACTTTTGTGTGTGTGCATGTACAGGGAGATCAGAGGAAGACATCAGGTGCCCTTCTCTGTCATACTTCTCCATTGAGCTTAAGATGGGGGCTAGTCTGGTGGCTAGAAAGCCCCAGGGGTCCTCTGTTTCTTCACTCTCCAGAGCCACCGGCATGGGTTGCAGGTGTGTGTGCAATCATGGGTGCTGGGGATTTGAACTGGGGTCCTACATACTTAAGTGTGCAGCAAGTGCTCTTGCCGACTGAGCCATCTCCCTAACTCCTTATGTATATTTAGTTGCTAATATTCTTCATGTTTTGTCCCTCTCATTTTTAGTTCTAAACATTTGTGTCTACCATAAATCCAGTAGCCTAACCTGGCATCAAACTCTCCATCTTCCTTTCTTCACCTGCTGAGTTCTGGGATTACAGTTGTGTGTGTCACCATGTTTACCTTTTTCTTTTTCCCTCTCCTCCTTCTCTTACCCTCTTTCCTCTTCTTGTAGCAACAATACCTCTCAAACCATCTGGTGTTTTTTTTTTTTTTTTTTTTTCTCCTAAGGATAGACTTCCCCTTTTCACTTTAGTCTGAATACTAACACACCCCTTTTTATAGTTTGATAATTGGTGATGGGCTTTTGGGATTATGGGAGTTTCTTGGATAGAGCTAGGGAGGTGGGAGGGGTCCGAGCTAATGATGGGGCATGGCAAGTTTGGTGTACTTGTAAGTTGAGTGTGAGAAAAGGAAGGTCGAAGTGGAATGTCTGGGACGAGTTTGTGGTATGTGGGGTCAGGAGCTTAATGAGAGGATAGCAAGCAACAATATGATCCTTTATTATGATGAGCTCATCAACTCTTCCCACAACTAT